CTATTTCAGATTTTCAATACACTCCATTCTGTGTGATTTATATGCGTTTTGAAAAGTGGGGACATGGGGTAATGTCCTGAAAAGTCACCTTCTCCTTGTAATACCTATGTCATACCCTTGTCATTATACAAATGTATGTCCTTATTTGTCACAAAAACGCGCACACACACATATATATATATATATATATATACACACACACACACAATGTATGTGTGTGTATACATGTGCTCGTTTTTGTGACAAATGAGGACATAAATTTGTATAATGACAAGGGTATGAGTATGACATAGGTATTACAAGGAGAAGTTGACTTTTCAGGACATTACCCCATGTCCCCACTTTTCAAAACGCATGTAAATCACACAGAATGGAGTGTATTGAAAATCTGAAATAGCACAAAGTTTCCTGTGAGGGGTAGGTTTAGGGGTAGGGTTGGTGTAGGGCAATAGCACATACAGTTTGTACAGTATAAAAACCATTACACCTATGGGATGTCCCCACTTTTCACAAAAACAAACCTGTGTGTGTGTGTGTGTGTGTGTGTGTGTGTGGTTATATGAGCTATTTGTGATGTTGTCCTCAGGTCAAACTCTAAATATCGGGTTCACAAGGTTTGTCTGGCATTACTGAACTGAACCACACCTCACAACCTCAAGACACACTCTACACAGAACCGTAGGACAATTACAGGCTAAAATAACCTAAATAATCATTTTAGCACTTACATTATGAACCTGCTTTTTGGATGTTGTGACCATTTCTTTACCGTACAATTGTTTGCTTAAAGGTTCAAATATAAGCAACCATTTCGGTTATTTCATGAACAACTGCAAACATTAAGTTTAAACTGATATTGAGAGCAAACCACAGCATTTTCCTCGTTCCAATGCACTATTGAAAGTGTTTTATTATATTTTTTTAGACGTTTAACTGTCTAGTACTCTGTGGCATGTCAACAGGAAAGAGGGAAAATTAATTTCTGGCTATTTCTAATTTGTTTACATGATTAATCAGTTCATTTCCACCCACTAGTGTCTTTCAGAAGTGATTTTCTGAAAAAGCAAGCATAACCAGGTAATTAATATGTCAATCAAATGAAGGAAAAGGGAAGGACAAAAAATATACAATGGGTGCAATGCACAGACATCCAGTTAAAACATTATTATCTGTCAGTTATCAATCAGTTTGTACTATCCAAAGTACAGGCCTACTTCCACAGTCTTGGCACAATAAAGTATGTAGACTAATTTATCTGATGGTTTTGGATTTGGTTTATTGAAGTCTAATTAAGTCCTGACACATGAGAGGCCTGAGCAAAGGCCCAAACTAAACCACAGTCACATGAAACATCTAATCAGCTCAGACACGTGGCAGTAACTTCACATGACCAACTAGAATCTGGATTATAAAAGTGATTTTTGGATTGAAGTGTTTGGGAATGTTTGACATTCACATCAACTCAGAATGCGTGTGGCGATGATGGTGAATAACATAATGCTGCCCTCTAGTGTACAGGCAGTGTAAGTGCACATGCCATCTATAGGTCACTGTAGTGTTTTATATTCCGCGAATCTCCATATATGACTATTTCCTCTCTTAAAATGTAAAAGGTACTATATATTTTCATTTGTAAAAGACTCAATTCATACTGTGAAAAATTATAAGATGATATTTATAATTATTACAATATTTTATAACATAAAAATGACATTATAAATATGTTTAAAATATTATTTGGAAAATATTTTGTTCTAAATAGTTTATTTTGTATTTATTTAGTTCATTTTGTTTACTTTCTTTCTTTTTTTTTTTACACTGCAGAGGTGGCACAGAAGCGCTTCTGAAGTGGAATTTAGGTGTCTTTCTTAACATGCTGCTGCTCAGAGGTGCATAAATGCATTTACACAGCAGTTGGGTTAAGGTAGGTCCAAGCAGGCATAATTTAGTCTTTTTAGGCTTTTATGCGATATTCCGTCTTTTTAAGCAGGCAGCAGCCTTAACTCAGCTGTGTAAAGATGCCTGAGGTCACATATATACACTTTATTAAATAATTAGAAGAATAAATGCACTTTTTATGCAAGTATTTGTGTCTATATAGCACTAGGGAATGGGATGTGGCTATAATTCCCAGCATGCCTTGCAGCTCCAGTAGCCTACAGGCTATTCTTTACTGTTTCACAGTTGCCTATGTACTGTGTCGTTTATGTGGTGTTAGTCTAAAATGCACATTTCCCTTTGCAAGTGTTGGTGTTTGGTGTAAAGCAAAGCTTTGTAATAATCATACACAGTCTGTTGATATTGCTTCTTTTTTTTAAACAGATGTTTCAGAGAGTGATTGAATTGGTTAGTGTTCTGTGCAGTATTTCTCTTTGGAAGTTGTATTTTGATTTGTGTAAGTAGTTCGTGTGTGACACCTTGTGGTGAAAAATATTATTACACTACTAAATAGAACGCAACAGGAAGCACGTTAAACAGTAGAAGAAGATATTCGTTTTCTGTGATCTGCGTTTTGGATGTACGTCATTGTTTGCGGTCTAATCCTTGGAGTAGACACGATCGTAAGTTATAAATTTCATATTGAAAACAACTGCAATAATGTTGTTAGTTTAATTAAAAGCTGGTTGTTATTAAGATGTTTAGAGATCGATGTTTGATTCTGGAATATAGCACGATCTGGCGGCTAATATGCTAATGAAGCTGCGCAATCCTTTTTTCTTCAAGCACATGTTCTTACCATAAATCGGTTGTTTATTTAGTTGTTTGATTATGTAAGTGGATGTTTGTGAATGTGAAAATATCCATGATATTTGTAAATCACTTTGTAATTTGTATCTTTTGTTTCTTTAAGTTTTACAGTAAAGTAAAGTGTGCATCACATAAGCACAACGAAGAACGTGTGATGGAGCTTTATTTCTGTTAGCTATCTGTCAACGCATGGTTCAGAACACCATTGCCAGGGCAGAATAGTAAAAGATCGACTGTTGGAAAATATTTTGTTCTAAATAGTTTATTTTGTATTTATTTAGTTCATTTTGTTTACTTTCTTTCTTTTTTTTTTTACACTGCAGAGATGGCACAGAAGCGCTTCTGAAGTGGAATTTAGGTGTCTTTCTTAACATGCTGCTGCTCAGAGGTGCATAAATGCATTTACACAGCAGTTGGGTTAAGGTAGGTCCAAGCAGGCATAATTTAGTCTTTTTAGGCTTTTATGCGATATTCCGTCTTTTTAAGCAGGCAGCAGCCTTAACTCAGCTGTGTAAAGATGCCTGAGGTCACATATATACACTTTATTAAATAATTAGAAGAATAAATGCACTTTTTATGCAAGTATTTGTGTCTATATAGCACTAGGGAATGGGATGTGGCTATAATTCCCAGCATGCCTTGCAGCTCCAGTAGCCTACAGGCTATTCTTTACTGTTTCACAGTTGCCTATGTACTGTGTGTCGTTTATGTGGTGTTAGTCTAAAATGCACATTTCCCTTTGCAAGTGTTGGTGTTTGGTGTAAAGCAAAGCTTTGTAATAATCATACACAGTCTGTTGATATTGCTTCTTTTTTTTAAACAGATGTTTCAGAGAGTGATTGAATTGGTTAGTGTTCTGTGCAGTATTTCTCTTTGGAAGTTGTATTTTGATTTGTGTAAGTAGAAAACTACACACATCAATGCAAATGAATCGCTCAAATCTTTTTGTGGGTTTTGTTCTTTTGCTGTGGCAAGCTGTGAAGACCTTTGAAATAACTGAAATCTGAAAACTGGTGAAGTGATATGAAAGTTTAATGCGGTCTATCAGATTCAAGCATTCGACAGACAGCCCAATGATTAGGCCTATATAGCGTATAGATTTGTTGAATCGTTTCTTTATTCAGTGGGTTCATGATTCGTCCGAGCGGATCTGAATCACTGAATCGAATCGGTGAGGAAATGTCAGTAGGCCTACTGTAGAGCGCGTTTGGATTGATGTTTGAACTTGACTTTGTGTTCAATGTAACTTAATAAATAAATAAAAACATTGAACCTTTTTGTTAGGACACACCGCTTGCCCACGTACTGCACTGTTTAGAAATCAGACAAAATTAAACTTCTAGATTGACTCCTTTCTTAGTATTACAAGTTCCAGACCGTCATATTTACAGTAGGCCTACATCATCATACTTGTAGTATGTAGTAAGTGTCTCACATACGAAAGCAGATGCTGTGGTTTTACAGTTTCAAGCTGAACCCCAAAGATAATGGCAGCCGTCAAAGTTCTTCTCCTGATTTTGTTTATTTTCCCCTCTCAGAGTGGTAAGAAAACTCTTTTTGAGTCGGATTTTCCTCAATTTTTATTCTTACTGTGCATTCATTGCATTCACTTGTCTGTATTAGACTGTAAAGATAGTAGCTATTTCTCCCTTACGAAAATTAGCCATGGTTTTATTATAGTAAAGGAGTAGAAACCATGTTTTTTCTTGCCGTAGGCTTGATTACCATTTGTATATTCACAGTTTTACTAGGCCTATAAATTTCATGGTTAAACTATGATTCATGTATGGTTCTAATGATCTGTGTCTGATGCTGAAAAGTTTGGTTATGTTTCATGCTCATCATCAATCTTGATGTAGGCCTATTCTTCCAGTGTGTTTGCTTTGACCTTTGAATTGCTCTGGTTTAGGTTTAAACTTTGGACATATCTGTTACACTGCTGCATGATAGCATTCGACAGACAGCCCAATGATTAGGCCTATATAGCGTATAGATTCGGTGAATCGTTTCTTTATTCAGTGGGTTCATGATTCGTTCGAGCGGATCTGAATCACTGAATCGAATCGGTGAGGAAATGTCAGTAGGCCTACTGTAGAGCGCGTTTGGATTGATGTTTGAACTTGACTTTGTGTTCAATGTAACTTAATAAATAAATAAAAACATTGAACCTTTTTGTTAGGACACACCGCTTGCCCACGTACTGCACTGTTTAGAAATCAGACAAAATTAAACTTCTAGATTGACTCCTTTCTTAGTATTACAAGTTCCAGACCGTCATATTTACAGTAGGCCTACATCATCATACTTGTAGTATGTAGTAAGTGTCTCACATACGAAAGCAGATGCTGTGGTTTTACAGTTTCAAGCTGAACCCCAAAGATAATGGCAGCCGTCAAAGTTCTTCTCCTGATTTTGTTTATTTTCCCCTCTCAGAGTGGTAAGAAAACTCTTTTTGAGTCGGATTTTCCTCAATTTTTATTCTTACTGTGCATTCATTGCATTCACTTGTCTGTATTAGACTGTAAAGATAGTAGCTATTTCTCCCTTACGAAAATTAGCCATGGTTTTATTATAGTAAAGGAGTAGAAACCATGTTTTTTCTTGCCGTAGGCTTGATTACCATTTGTATATTCACAGTTTTACTAGGCCTATAAATTTCATGGTTAAACTATGATTCATGTATGGTTCTAATGATCTGTGTCTGATGCTGAAAAGTTTGGTTATGTTTCATGCTCATCATCAATCTTGATGTAGGCCTATTCTTCCAGTGTGTTTGCTTTGACCTTTGAATTGCTCTGGTTTAGGTTTAAACTTTGGACATATCTGTTACACTGCTGCATGATGATATATATTTTTTTTTTCCATGTTTGAACGTGTTTCTTCTCTCTTCTTCTTTCAGAAATATGTTCTTTGTACTACATGTATAGCGCCATATCAAAATATCCAATCTCTAGAGAAATGTATGGATTTTAACAACTCAATGGCATTCAGATGAGTTTCTGTAAGAGTGTGAATAAAGCAGGTTTCTTGACATAGTTGTGTGAGGAGTCTGAGAGACTCTTTAGAAATGAAAGTGATGAGTTGAATTATAAACAACAATGGCTTCAAATCAACCTCATTGCACTGATGGACCAGAGAACCCTTACGAAAAAGAAGTTTATTCAAGTGTGCTATTAGTATACTTCTTTTAAACTAAAAATAAGAAAGTATACTTTGTCTACTTTTTATGTACTTCTCAGAAATGGGCTTTATGTACTTCTCAGAAATATACTTAAAATGACATTTAAGTATACTTGACTTACACTTAGAAAAAGTCTAAATATATTTCAGCTATAATTGTGCTCCTAGAATCCGCGTTTTCATTGTTATACTGTAGAGGGCGCTAGTACACATTACACTGATATTTATATACTTACTACATAATGTATACTTAAAAATATACTTGAACTTTACTTAAGTATACTTATTAAAATAAACTTGAAGTATACTACTTTTTGGTAAGGGAAATGATAACAGGATAAACGACACAGGTAAATATTCATTAACCAGCATGCAAAAGATGTATTATTCAGAGTATTTGAATGTAGAGAAACAATGTTCAACATTTTAAATAATATCATTGTCAAATGTAATGAATTTTGTCATCTTATGTGTGTGTCTTTAGATCTTCATGTTCTTCAGTGGAGACACAGCTGTGCGGTTGAACTTCTCTCGAATGGTTCAGTAATATTTCTTCAAGGCGCTGATGAATACGCCTATGATGGAGAGACTTTGACCTTTAACCTCTCTATGCTCTGGAAACCTTTAGTCCTTGATCATGGCTTCATCTGGAACAGAGAATCAGTTTCCAGTCTGGAGAGGAAATGTGTGGAAACGTTAACCAGCTTCACTGACCTTCAACGAGAGGGAAAATTCATCACAGCATGTGAGTTTATCTCACTTATAGTTCACATGAGAATCTGTAGGACTATCATTTGAATGAGTTTTTTCATGGTGGGTTATTATTTCAGTGAATCATGTCTGTGTCCTGCAGCTCGTCCTGAGGTTTACTCTTCTGTAAAAGCGTGTGGATCATCAGACCAGCAGGTTCTGGTGTGTTTGGCCACAGGCTTCTACCCTAAACATGTGCAGATGGAGATCAGACGCGATCAGACGCTGTTACCTGATGAGCAGCTGAACTCACATGGAATCAGACCAAACACAGACGGATCCTTTCAGCTGATGAAGAGCCTGCAGATCCTGCCGTCTGATAGATCTCACTATCAGTGTGTGGTGAAGCACCAGACTCTGACTGAACCACTCATTATCAGCTGGGGTAACGGTGATGATGATTATGATTATTATGAAGATTATGTGTTATTGTGTTAAATGATTTAGAGGATTTCACTAAAAGTAGCCTGTGGGTGTTAGGTGCAGTCTTTGGACTCATAGTTAATTTGATCATTGTTGCTGTTCTCCTATCCATTGTTTTCACATTTTGTCAACTGAGAAAATATGATAAACCTCGAGGTGAGTATTATTTAAGTCCCTTAAAGCCACATAAATATGCATAGAAGAGGAGAGTGACTTTTAATGTTTACAATTTCAGAAAAATATAAAAAACTGAAGACACCATTGCAAGTTAAACTATCGAGTGAGTCTGACTGTTCTAAAAGTTACTTACAGTATTTAAACACAACCCATATTTCATTTACATTACATTTATTAATTTAGCAGATGCTTTTACCCAAAGCAACTTAAAAATTAGGAATACAGCAAGTGATTCATTGTAAAGTGGCAAATAAACACAAGAAGTGCTTGCAATACAAAGTTTCAGACATTGTTTAGAATAGTACAAGATAAGGGGTAAGTGAAAGTTGTTGTTGTTTTTTTTGAGGATGCAGTTAAGTGCTCATGGAAGAGATGAGTTTTCAGCTGTCTTTTGAATATTGTCAGGGATTCAGCAGTCCGGATGGGGGTGGAAAGATCATTCCAACAGCAAGGAAAAATGAACAAAAATGTTCTGGAAAGCGATTTTGTGTGTCTCAGTGATGGTACCATGAGGTGTCGCTCACTTAACAACCTCAGGCTTCTGGAGGGGATGTAGACTCGTAAGAGTGAGTGGAAGTAGGCGGGTGCTGAGCCTGTGGCTGTTCTATACGCAAGCATTAATGTCTTGAACTTTATGCGAGCCGCAACAGGTAGCCAGTGCAGGGAGATAAAGAGAGGTGTAACATGGGCTCTTTTGGCCTCGTTAAAAATCAGACGTGCTGCATTCTGAATCATTTGAAGAGGTTTGATTGTGCTTGATGGAAGTCAAGCCAGAAGAGCATTGCAGCAGTCCAATCTAGAAATGACAAGGGCCTGGACAAGAGTTGTGCAGCATGCTCTGTTAGGAAGGGCCTGATCTTCCTTATGTTGTGCAGTGCAAATCTGCATGATCGAGCTGTCTTCGCATCGTAGTCTTTGAAGGTCAGCTGGTCACCAAAGATTACACCAAGATTTCTGACCGAACTTATTGGTAATTGTTGATTAACCCAGCTGGATGGTGAAATTGTGCTGTAGAATCGGAGTGGCAGGGAAGAAAAGAAGCTCAGTCTTTGCCAGGTTGAGCTGCAGGTGTGATGTTCTTTCATCCATGCCGAGATGTCCGCCAGGCAATCTGAGATTCGTGCAACTACCGTTGGATCATCTGGTTGAAATGCAAAGTCGAGCTGTGTGCCATCAGCATGGCAATAGAAACCATGTGCTTGTATGATTGGTCCCAGTGATGTAGTGTATGGAGAAGAGGAGGGGCTCCAAGAACTGAATGGTCTTTTGATTTGCGCAGTTTTCTCTCTGTTGCCCTGAGTTTGGTCTGATGTTCACAAAGAACATATAGAGGGGGTAGCATGTGCCGGCCTGGAGGAGAGAGGACAGACATTGTCTAGACAAGAAGTTAAAGTGGAGCATATGACCATGACTAAATGCATTAACATGTACAATAACCATCTGTACAAGTCAACCATTTTGTTCTGAACTCTCTATCAGGACCAGAAACACATGCAGGTTTGGCTGCTGCTTTAAATGATTCTTCAGATGATGAAAACGCCACAGATGACAGTCTGGAGGAGGTTCAGAGTAGGTCCTGAACAGACACTAATACACACACTTAACAGTGTTTCTTCACTTCAGTCTCTTAGAAACGCTTGTTCAGATGTTTTTCAGGTCTGTTTCATTAATGGTTCTTCTGTGTGTCTTTCAGCTGAGGAGCTTCATGAAACTCAAAGTCTTTGTGAGGCTAAAGAGACTCCAGCAGCAGCTCCTACAGCAGCTCGAGGTCAGAACATCTGAATTCATCATGTGCTGCAATGACTTTTCTAGGTGCAATGGGCTCTAAAAACCTCTCTCTGCCTAATTTTGGTGAGTTTTATAGGTTTTTTTTTTAATATGAAAAAAACCACTGGTTGTGATATTTTTTTTTTCAGCCATGGAGAGAGAAGACACCAATCAGAACACTGTTTCCCAGAATGCACTGCTGTTACCACTGCCAAGTAAGATTAATACTTTCTCTTTAAATTACACTGACCTCATTGTTGTGAGAAACAAAGTTTATATTTGTGTTGCTTTTAAAGATGCATGTTATTCTGTGTTTCAGGACGCTGCAGATCCAAGAACATTTCAATGCCAGATCTTGGTAATATTTGTTAATTTAAACAAAATATAAATATTTATGATGTAATTAATTTACATTTTAAATGTAGTTTCTGGTTAATATTTGTTTTTAAAAACAAATTTGTTTTCTTCAGCTCTAGAAAGAAAGGACAACAGTGACTTAAGAAGATCAAGTGTTGGTTGGAGAAGAGGAGGGCTGTTCTGATGTTACTTCCATCATTAATGCCAAAAATACATGGACACCTGAACATCACGGTCATATGTGCTTCACATTTACTTTCCACAACATCCACACAGCTTCCACTCTATAAATAGGTCAGAAACTGGATTAACCAAATACAGTGGTTATAGAAATGAATCACCCCCTTTAAAATAATCACATTTTGTTGCTTTGCAGCCTGAAATGAAGACGGACACAATTTTTGTTTTTTCCAACTGTATTTACTCAGTGCAACTTATAACATCCAAGTGAAAGATATAACATCAACATGTCAGAAAAATAAATAAATAAATAAAAAACCAGAATCACTGAGTTGGAAAAAGGATCACA